AACACAATACAACCATGCTCGAGGCGGAACCCGCGATCCTTCGGTCCGAGTTCGCTACGGCACTACTGCCTTAGCGATCTCGGCCACCGGATCGGCTATTATAATAATAATAATAATAATAATTATTATTATTATTATTATTATTATTATTATTATTATTATTATTAATATTGAACAATAATATTTAAAATGAATTCCAAAGCACATATTTCTTAGGTTACTATCAATCTGTTTAGTTTTAATTAGTTTTTCTAGCGTAACACCATCCTACCACGACAACGGCGTAGTAGTCACCCGCATCATTTAGCAGATATCCTGTGCACCTTTGCCCTCAGACCCCAAGCTGAAATCCTCAATGTTCAGGTTACGAAGAAAACAACATTTTATCAAAACTTTGTACTTATAATGTACTAATATGCAACGGAAACTATAAGAAATACTTTAGTTCGTAGTTCGTTTGATAACTACATAAGTCTGTAGCCACACGTAAAATATATAGATAACTTGATAGATATTTGACAGCGATGTTGACATGAATGTTGCAACAATGTTAGACTGACTGGAAGGGAAACGGTCAACACCAAGAAACTCTACCACATACTAGTTTGGTTCACCGAAAATTCCTCAATAGTCGACAGAGATTTGTACATTCCGATACGCACAAATGTTTAGCGGGTTGACCAAGACAAAGCTACGGGTCTCTGAAAGATTTCATGATGTTTGATTATCTAATAAATGTGTCATTAAATTACTGCTTCATATGTTTTGGCGAGACAATTTTTAGGTTTTTGGGTATTAGTATAAAAATGAAAAACATACACATTAAACAGAGTCTAAACTTGTTTGAAAAATTCTTGATTAAAAACCTTACATTTTCACTTCATTTGTTTAAAAAAAATTTAAATTATTAAAAAAATAAATTGCTGTTATAGGCTCATTTTCTTGTAATTTCAATTGATTTGTAATTACTCGTCCCTTTCCTTTAAATCCGAAATATATTTCGCAAATGTGTTTAATTTTAAACTATTTTGAAAATCATTAGTCATAGCACTCTTTTTCTGCAGAGTGTGTTTTTGAAAATAAAAAAGTGTAGCGTTGAAATATAAAACAATAAAAATCTTCACAATTGGGTCTTAAAAATCAGAAAAATATTTCCATGGCCATGAATGTGTGTTTGTATGAAATGTATACACGTGTTATTGAGCGTGTGTGTATGTCTGTAAGAGAGAGAGAAGGTGTGGGAGGAAGAAACGTAGGAATGAAAGCAGCGGAGACGGGGAGAGAAGATATAGCAGAGAAAAAACGTTGCACCCTAAAGGTGAGACCACGCACTGCCACTGGCTGTACGGATAGACAGTATCGCTATATGTGCAACGCTTTTATTTTCAATTTGAAAAAAACTATAACTTTGGAAGAATTAGGTACAAAATTACTCGAGAATTCTTCCATGATTTCTTTCAGAAATAGAAACTTCGTGGCTCCAAAATATGCGAAGAGGGATCCTCCCAAAAACACTTCACGTGTTCCTTGTGGCCAAGTGTGCCCTTAATCTTTGTTTAGGGGCACGTGCTAAATTATTCAATTAAATATAGGGAAATAGGAGAGTACGGATGTTTGTACTCCAGAAAAGTGCGCAAATTGCGTTTCACCCTTATATATCACACATATTTTACTGTTTTTTTTTGTCAAAAATAGTTATTTACGAGATTAGTGTCGTAATACATCTGATTACAATACGAGATTGGAAAATAGCCAAACGAGTCCGTTTGGACGAGTTCGGTAACCAATTGAGTATTGTAATCATATGTTTCGACACGAATATCGTTCAACGTTTTATCCACTTTGTAAAAATTTGTTAGATTTAAGATTAAAATTTTCATTTAGTATTCACATTTTTTCCCTTTAAATGGCGACATTGATGTTAACAAGGAGAACAATTGAAACGCGCATGGTGTACACATTTCGGCAACATGATCAAATGCAATTCAGGCTCAGAAATAGAAATAGCAGCAAATGCTGCTATAGATTCTTTGTTATCATACAAATCAAAGAAGAAATATGAGCGTGAGTACTCAATTTTAAAGGATTGGACCCTAACCCTAGGACCCTCCGATCAGAGGCACTGCAGCGACATCAATTGATGCTCTGAATCCCTAAGTTTGTAGTTCGTGGGATTTTGATACGATGGGATATTATCAGTGGGATTTTATTTGGCTAGACACCTGCTAGGAGTACGTGCGAAACGGTGACATGAAACAATGAGCATTTTTTCGTTGGTCGAAAATCTTCGTCAGGTGAGGAATCAGTGTAGATGCCGCCCTCCAAGCACAGGACCTGGCATTGGGAGCCATGAATTTCGACGGCGGGCGCCCTGTGATAACGCTATCAAAAACATCTGAATTTCACCATTCTGTGGCCTCTGTGTACCCGAACACGCAAGAGAACACGCACAGGCATCACTTTTACCATGTGCAAAGTAAGAAAAACGTCGACTTGCTCGTGTCGACTAGAGTTCAGTTTAGTTTTAAAGAGCTTAATTAAAATAAACGAATATCGTTTGAGTACTAGAACTTAAAAATATTAAAATGACAAATTGCGATATGAAAGAAATGGAAAACACACGCGGCCTGTACTCTGTAGTTTCCTCTTGAGGAAGAAAATTATGCAGATTTGTATATTTCAATCACCGTGTTGCAAGAGTTGAAGTGTGTCTTGTTCTTAAACATACTTTTGGAAAGTGCCTTTAAGGTTACGAATGTAATCTACACATAACGAATCATCTTTACATGACTTACTAACGCACGACTAGTCATAGCTGTATTAGTATTTTAACTGTAAATGTCAGAAATATTTGAATCTTTGTACCTTCACGTTTCAAGATTAATACCACTTTTTATCCCTCGACCATCAATAGATTTATTTGTTCTGAAGGAAATATGAGTAACATTAAGCTGCGTAATAGTAGATTCCACAGACAAATAAAAAACGACGAAGTGGGATTAGTATCTAGAATGCTGTACTGAAACTTTTTTTCATTTCCAATGAACTTGGAGGTTCATAACTGTGGCTTTGTAATCAGCAGTCAAAATTTTTTTTTATTTTAATTTTTCAATGTTTTGTGTATTTTTCTTTCTCGTCTTAGAAAAGGAAATACGTATCCAGAAAATTTCCAAACAAAATAAATATATTCTTGAACATAAAACAAAATAATTATCCCGTTTTTACAATAACAAAATCAGTGAAGAAACAATGTTTGGATCCTTTCACTAAACAAATTGAGAAAATAACAAATGTTTACACAATTTTACAATCTGCGCAAACAAACAATTAAATATTTACACTGTTAAAAGTATTTCCTTCTACTTCTTAACTACCATGAACATCACAATATCATTGAAATTTCTCTCTATTGACATTCAATATCTAAATAAAAGAACAAAAGAATTACAATATTTCACACGTACTAATTTGTCATTATATTACATACTAATTAATTATTTTTTCTCTAAGGTGCCACTAATCAACGTTGTGTTGGCGCAGCGCACGCTCTGACCACATTCCCTCTTCACGCAATTGCACTCGTCTGCGCGTCGCGAAATGTTATATTTCTAGTCTATTTCTCCTTTAGTAGATTGACTTAAAAACAAAATAACTGCAACGATTTAATGGCAGAGTCCCTCACACACACGTAGAATATCCCTACCACACAATTTACACGGCCCTATCACACAATTAATTGATAAATTGCGGATCGCTATTGTCCGAGACCAAGTACAAAAAAAACATTTCCTTCGCTGGGAGTTATAGTGTCGCCACAAAACGTTCATTATACCTGGGCCTTCTCGGATGTCGTTGTAGGACTTTCACCTTCACCTCCTTGAATGGCTTTTCACCTCCTCGAGTCCGGCTGTCCAAAATCCATCGTCCTTCACGTTGCAGTCCGTGTCGTCCGTTCTCCGGTGTCGTTTTTCCAAACGTATTCGCCCTAGGTATGGCGACACGATTTTCCAATTCCTCCAAATACCATAGTATCAAATTACAAAAGTGAAACATCAAATTTATTCAAGTAATCAACAATATTTTTCTCCCTGCTCACGATCCGACATTCATGGCTTCTTGCCTCCTTCTTCCTTCTTCTGCCTGCCTCCCCTCCCCTCGCGTCGGTCGGCAGAGACTCTACAATTCATTTGTATCAGAATGTACATAAATACTGGCGGCTCCTCTTGCAAAGGGCACGGCCCGCGCTATTTAAATGTAGCGTTCTATCTTCTACAGATAGGCAACGGTTACAGTACAGTGATCTCCCATATTACTTCAAGAACTTATTAGACTTAACGCCGTTACGCAAACGAATATTATTTGATATCTATACCCTAGAATAATTAGAGCGTACTGGCCAAAGAGAAGAAAAATTAGCGCCTCATTTAAATTCCTGCTAATCATTACCCACAGTTCATATCGTCGTTTGAAACAGGGAAAATGTTCATGGTTTACGCTTGGAAAACTGTTATCTATTTCTCTGTTCCAAAAATGTGGTAGCATTTTATCGAGCACTTTCTCAGAATGTCATAATTCCTTTTCCAGGGCATCGACTCCGTGATAAGAACGGCAAAAACACTCAGAAAGTCGAAGGAAGTCCGTGTCACCTGAGATCACGGTTACCTATGATCCCGGATCCCGAACTATGGTGCCTTATTTCTGTTCATATTAATAAACTTTTCATTTCAGAATTAGTATTAATTCATTGAATCGTTTTTTCTTCATTCAATAAATCTCTCTATCGCCCCCACCCCCTACCTATCATAAAATTTACTTTTTTGTCCATAAACACAATTCGCATCACCAAGCAAACATCATGTTAACTTAACCGTGAAACAGTGTATAATTATCCTATGAACATTATATTTGCCATTGTGTAGTCGACTCCAAATATTGATTTCTTGTTTTCTGTGATAATGAACCTTCATACAATGAAGAACAGAAAAATATTTGGAACATGGAATAACCGTGAGCACCATAGATATTCTGAAATATAGAAAAGTTCCTGAGCACAAATAGTGAAAATACTCGTAAAAATGGTTTAATGCAACACATGAACATCATACAGGCTGAGATTGCTTGAGTAGAAGAGACCCGCGTTCGGGCGAGTATATTTGTCTTTCCTCGTGTAATTCTTTCAGCTCTGAATTGGGTGAACACCGGATGTACAAGACTGGTAGATATGCTTGTTTACAACGTGAGATTGGAAGACATGCTTCACCCTGTTGCTCTGAAACCAACGACTGACCATCTTCGATTTTCATGTGAACGGAATTCCAAGACAAACGAAAAAATGACATCATCTAGTGATGGCGAAGTGCCCTACTCAAAATCTTAATAAACGTCATGACATTGAGAAAGTGTACTGTATGAAAAATATTGATGAACGAATGTGAAGAATAATTATTTTAATTGAATGGGTTAACACAACGTGATTAAAATAATTACTATAATTTTTGTAAACCACTTTTTTGTCAATCTAGACATTCCTCAAGTCGTTTATGCATTCCAGAAAAAGAAATTAATCTAGCCGTTATGAATAATATATACATTATTTACAATCTCTACCAAACTTGGTCAAGGTGCTGAAATTAATTATTTTAACCATTGCATACAACACTTGATTAAGGTCAGTGAAAAATACAAGTGTGAATTAAAAAATTGATCTTTCTATTGTATATTATGTGTTGGAAAAAGTTATACAACAAAATGAATTTTACATACATTCACATTTGTTCCAATAATTTTATTACTAGTGTTTTTCAATGTGTACCAGTAACTATTTTCATTCTTCGATCTTGCATTTTCGTCTCTCACTTTATTGTGTTAAAATTGTATTACTGTTTTTGAGTTAAAAGAAAAATAATTACTGGTGGTATTAGGTAAATATATAAGTTCATGTATAATTTTTACGTTCATATTTAAGTAAAAAAAGACCTCAACATGAAACGCGTCCTGTAAGCGCTGGCAAAGTGGCGAACGCGGTTCATTCGTTTCGACTTTTGTTGCGAGAGCAAACTCGGTGTGGCGGCGCTGCCTCCCGTTCTCGGGGTCAAACTATTCTTCCCCACGGCTGCGACAGCTCAGCGGCAACACCGTTGCCCCTGCCGACCAAGAGTTCCGAGGGATCTCGACCCAACGGTTGACACTAACTACTTAAACGAAGAAAATACAAAATATTACTTATCAAATTATCACTGATCAAACTCACACTTTCTTGAAGTTGTCAGATATTCTTAGAAGTTGAGAACCATTTACCTGATAATGTTTTACAATAGTGGCACTCTATTTATTAATTTATCTTTCACTTTACCTCATCTTTTTATAGTTAAAATGATGGGAAGGGATACTGGAACTCAAGAAAACGTGTCTAGAAGATCTCACCCATAAGTCATATACAGTTCTTCGGTTGGTTTTTTTTATTACGTAAAGCTAAACCTCAATCTAAATCATCATTCCGCTTGTCATCCCTTCATTACTTTTGTAGGTATGACGGGATTAAAACGCTATAATGTAGCAGACTCTAGTTACCTGGCCAAGGAACTACCATATCTGCCTGTCTTTCCGCGTACCACGTCATGCGATGTATAATAGCAGCAACGGCGATCTTCGCCCTCCCGACCTCGCCCCTTTCACATGCCACCTCAGAACACGTCTTTCCAATCCCGGGATCTTGGGCACAACACAAACGACGGCAACGGTCATAACGACGTCACCGTCAATAATAACGAAAATGACGATGACAACGACAATTACGACAGTGACGTCAGCAGCAACAATAACAAGGATAACCATGCGTTGAATCATTTGGGTGTTTTTAGTTATTTGGTAAACTTTTATAATTAAAATTATAAAATTATAAATCAATAATTAATGTATAAAAAATATATATTTCCTTTAAGTTTTCTCAAATATATTTCGCAGATTATTTTCTTGGTTGCCACGTTTTTAAAATCTTTGTGTCATGGCACACAGGTAATATTGTAGAATGATTTTTTTCTTATTTCTTTATTATAACAACGAATATTGTTAGGATGTTTCAACACACTCACACGTTTGTTGTTATTGTTTTTTCAGTGAACTATCAGCGTATTCAACTCGTTTAAATTTATACTAACAGGAGGAAATATGCTGTAAGCAGTAACTTTATTCGCGACACTTTTGCAATTCTTAACCGTCCTAAAATATGAGACGTCTTAATTTAATTTTCTCTAAATAGTAATTTGTTTATATTTCAATTTCTTGTGTAAATAGTGCACGAGAATAATTATTGTGCACCAACTTCTGGAGCAGAAGAGGTCTTTTCACAACAAACCAAGCAGGGTAACACGAAACTGCGAACTCTTCCAACTGATATCCAACTCATAAATAGAGAGAAAGACACAAAACGACCCAGCAACCCTCAGGCTCTCCACTGGAGGGCCTCTGGCCTCAGAGCTGGCAAAGGGGTGGGAGGAGGGT